CCCTGCTGCTGTAGTGCTGGCCCAGCCCTGCCACGAGCACCCCGGCACCTGCGGGAGGAGTGGGGGGCTCTTGGCAGTGGTACAGCATGTCCCTCCTTCCCTCCTTCTCCTGCTGCTCCGCGTTGCCACGATGACAGAGCGAGACCCCGGCCCCGTAAGTGCCTTTTCCTTCTCTCGCACCATTTCCCTTCAGCTGCGCAGGTTCCGGCCGGGACCCCAGGAGCAGGCGGCCACGTGGGGGACAGGTCCTCGGGTCCTGCTCCCCGGCCAAGGCCCTGCTGCCGGCACAGCCATGCGGGTGAGAGCGGGTGGGTGCTCTCCCCGTGGGGACCCCTTCCCCATGTCACATGGGCAAACCATGCCATCCCCCCGAGCAGCGTCCCCCTCCTCGCTCCTTTGGGGTGGCACAGGGCGCTGCCCTGGGGCCCTCTGTGCCCTGGAAGCCGGCCACAGCCCTGTGCTGGTGCTGCCTGTTCTGGGAGTCAGGCACAGCAGCTTGCAGCCCCTAACGCTGCGTCTCCCTGCCCCAGAGCTCCCTGGCACTGCCCAATGGGGAGCGGGCACGAGCCATCTCCGAGTACCTGAGCAGCAGCAAGAAGAGGAAGGTGGAGGAGAAGGACTTTGTTACGGACTACGTGAGCCTCGGGAAGGGGGACTGGGGGACTTGGGGCATCCCTGTCCCCTCTTGCGGGGCGATGAGTGGAGCTGCCCACACCTCTGGCACTTCCCAGGCTGGAGTGAGGGCAGCCTCAGCCCCTTTAGCTCCAACCATCTTTTGTGTTTCAGGGCAGCGATGCGGACAAAAGTGAAGACAACTTGGTGGTGGATGAGGTCAGTGTGCTGGGGCTGGGAGTGGGCTGTGGTCAGCGTGCACTGCCTGTCCCTCTGCCCGAGTGGGGGGCTAACAGGCTGTTACAGGCAGAGGCGAGCAGCACAGGGAGGTGGCAGTGGGACCCCTGAGTCATGCTTACCGGCCCTTGCTGATGGCAGCAATGAGCCCCTGGATCCAGGCTCCCAGCCTGGCCCTCACTTGAGCCACCAGCTCACCATGGCCTGGGATGTCCCCACGCTCCTGCCTGCTCTGCTGCCTGCTGATTTCTCTCCCCCCCAGGACCCCTCTTCCCCGCACAGCGTCCACTCCTACTCGTCCCGGGAGAACGGTGTGGAGAAGGTCCCACTGGGGAGGAAAGAGGCCGTACCACTCAGCCCGACCTCCATGGCCTCCTCGAGCAGCACGTCCCCATCTCGGAGCAAGGATGCGCCCACGGTAAGTGCGCTGCGTGGGGCAGCCGGGGTGCTTTACTCGGGGGTTGTGCTTGTGTCCCCGCTGCCCGGGCTCAGCTGGCAGAGCTGCTGGACACGGCTGCCTCCAAACCCACAGGGTGAAGGCAGTGCTGGGGGGACAGGGAGGGCTCCTGCTCCATTAGATCCCCTCTCGTGTCCCATCCTGCAGACCCTGCAGCACTGGCTGGGCTGAACTGCCATCAGGGGTGAGGAACAGGGACCAGCTCGCTGCGGGGGACCTGAGGAGACCCCCCAGCAGGGCGGGATTGCAGCTGTCAGATCTCCCCCCTCTGTTCCTGGCAGGTGGAGAAGGCAGGGACGCCCAGTCTGAAGTCCAGCACCCCCACTTCCCAGGGTGATGCCGCGGCCCCAGGCTCCAGTGGTGCCCAGCAGTTTCGCCCCGCCGCCGCCAAGGCCCCCGTGGACCTTCTGGGTGAGCTTGAACCTGCCGGGGCACT